CGCATACTCATCTCAATTACAATTGCTCATTATAAATTATTTCTTCGATTTTCTAATATAAAAAATTAGAATAATTAAATTATATTTAAAAATAACTCTAAGAGTAACTTTATCTAATTATTTTTTAAGATTCAAATATGATGTGATTATTTATATTTTAAAAAAGAAAAATGAAAGGAAAGTAGATGTTAATGGATAATCACATTTCCATTCTGCTTCCAGAACTAATTCAGTAACTTATTTTATATATTTTTATTAAAGAAAAACTCATATAAATTTTGTTTTTATATAGTGGATAGAGTATTTATAGATTTTTGTCAAACATGGTATATATACACAAACATTAATGGATATTCGGATGCTTAAACTTGATAATAAATATTTTTGTTAATAAAAATATGTAAACTTATATATATATATATATATATATATGAAATGATTGTTAATATCAATTGAAGCGAAGGTAATCTGCAGTGAGAGGCTTGAAAATATGGCCAGCTACATTCTCGATGAACTCCAATTGCCCCTTCTGAAGTTTCATATACACCACCCAATCGCCATCAACAGTGACACTAGGCGTTGGCATAACAAACCCAGTTTGGCCGCCCCATGAGAAATGGTAAAATCCAAAAACTGGTCTTCCCCACCCGAAATCTACATTACACATTGAAAATCTTTGACCTGAAGACACTACAAACGCCGGTCCATCACTGAATCCCTCAGCATAGATCTTAGCTATAGCTGGTTGTGGTCGGTGCATCTCTACCCAATCAATAAGTCCCAAGAAATGGTCTTTGCTTAATGTATTTTCTATGAAATGGTGCACCTCTTTAGCCACCCAAGACAATGGCCTCTCAATCAGCTCCTTCACTTTATGTCCACCATATGGAACCGACAATACATTTCCGAAATAAGAGGCCATGACTTTTGCAGTGTCATTTTTTTCATTAATAAACCTTGTCCTTCCATCTACGACAATGCCCATTGTGCAGGTCACCTTGTTATTTTGCTCTGCAAATTGTGCCATTAATTGCCAAAGAAAAGCACTGAATGATTCTAGCTTAGTTCTTGGGGTGCCACTGGAACTGGCGAGTG